TTAAAATGAATAATTGATAATTTGAAATAGGAAGAAAGGTCTAAAGGGGTAGGGGAAGTGGGAGGGGAAAGGGAAAGGAAAGAAGGGAAAGGAAAAATGATGAGAAAAGAAAAAAATTGGAAGTGAAGTCTATGTAAATAGGGAAGGGTGGAGGGGGTGAAAGGGCGCACAGGTAATGGGGAAAAAATAAGAACTAAGATGCATCATGTACAGGTACAGGCACCCAGTGAGACATGTAAATGTATTATATACCTAAAATGTACCAATAAAATTATTTAAGGGAAAAAAAAAGACCTGGAAGTTTGTCTTCTGTACCTCTGTGGTGAGCTCAACATCTTTATTTTTCCATCTAGTTTGTTCTGGGGCACGTTATAGTGAAGGCATCCTGATTGTACATGTGATACACCTTGTTTTTGAGGTCAATAAGATTTTTTGGACAGTGAGGAGTTAGGTTAGGAGGAATTTATACTATACTTTAATGAATGAACAGTCCTGAATGAAGGATTTTGGTAGTCTTTATCTCAGAGGGCCCAGGTGTGGTCTCTTTTAGGATAAAGCGGTTTGGCATTTTATTTTGTTCTCTTGCTTGATTCATCATGTAAGAGAATCACCGTGTGAATTATGTCGCAGTCTCTCCACATGATCGTATGGCCCCAGTTTCAGTAATACAGATCCAGTGAAGCACACAGGGAGGAGGGAGGGGTGTGGTGGGGAGTGGGCGTGTGCCTCTGTGTACAGTAGTGCCTTCCCTGAATAGCATTAAGCACACTGAATTTTATATGGTTGTCTCAATCTGCTTTGTTTGTTTGTTTGGGTACTGGGGATTGAACTCGGAACCTTGGGCTTGCAAGGTGGTGGCACTACTGAGCTAAATTCCCAGCCCAATTGTCTCAGTCTTAGTTATGGGTTCATTCTTGTAAGGAGTCTGTCTATAACATCGACAGTCCTTGTAGCAATGATGCATGTCCTCCTCCAAAGGAATGTTTTGGTTATATCAAATTTTCTTTGGATCCTACAGATCAGTTCAGCCCTCAGTTTGGGCATGGAGATCTGGTTCCTTGTTCAAGAGCCAGACTCTGGAGCCCAGTGGACTGAATTGGAGTCCTAATGCAGCAAATGAACGGTATACATAAGTGTTTAAATCAGTGCCTAAACTGCATATTTAAGGTGTTCCATAAAAGTCTGGTTCAGCGTATAAATGCTTCACAATAATCTGTTGTTCCCTCTTAAAGAGAGTGGGTGGTGATGGTAAAGACTTACCCTGATCATAAAAGTTTTATTACTTAGTTAATATGAAGCATCAAGTAAGGAGACAAGGAAGTATTTTCGTTTGAGAGGAGGATGATAACATTACCCAAATAGGAAACCATAATCCATCTTTCTAAGTAAGCTGAATACAACAAAGAACTTACCTATCTCAGTGGCTCGGAGCAGTACAAACTTCTCTCTCTTGTATGTGTGGGACAGATTGAGTGTGGTCAGGCAGGACCGGATGGTTTCTCTCCATGTGGGGATGCAGGGATCCAAGCACATTCTATTTTTGTGGCATTGCCATATTGGAGTTCTTCATTTCAAACATGAAGTTAATGATGAGGGAAGGAGAAGGAAAAGGGGCAGAGAGAGGGAAGGAAGGAGGAATGGAGGAGGATGGGAAGGAGGAAGAAGGAGAGACAGAGACAGAGAGACAGTCAGACATTATGAGCTGAGGATTTTGCAAAGGACTTTAGAGGCCAAGAAGGAAGTGGGATGGTAATCACGGGCCATTTCCTCTCCCATTCCGCTCCCTCAAACTGGCCACAGGATTACCACTGACTTACTAGAGACTTGGGAAATCCAGTCTTCAGGAGTTCCCTGCAGTGAGAATTAGGACAGATGAGTATAGCTCTGGGACAGTTCTGGCACAGGGACGAAACAACATTTTCTGTAAGTTATTTAAAGAATTCACTGTAAACTGTACTGAAATTCTCTGTCACGGCCAGGACCAGCAGGTGACCAGAGAAAATTTACAAGTTGTTTTCCTTATTTCTCATTTTGTAAATTGCAGAAAGTGAGGGAATCTACTGAGATGTCTGCCTGTGAATATTTGTTGTTGTGCAGTTAGCACAAGGACTCTCAGGGAGTTTCTTAGTGGCTATCTCTGACAGGTTCCTGTTGTAGAGCAGGATTCTAGGCTTTACTTCCTGTTCGTCATCAGTAAATGACAAAGGCAAAGATGAGTCCCATTGTACATTGAAATTACGTGGGACAATCTTAGAGTGGGGTGTTTTCTTTTCTGTTAATAAGTATGAATCACTCTTGCGACCAGACCAGTATTTATCTCCAGGTCTGTGGGAGGGATGATGGCAGCTTTCTGTCTTGAATCACTAAATGAAGTGACCTATTAATAATAATTAACATATAAACAGTTGTTTTGAATCATAATTAGCCCATGCACAGATTGAACAGTTTACTTTGAAGAACAAACCTAGGAAGCATACAGCTGACATGCAGCCACGCTTCTCTGTGCTTTAGAGTTAGCCTATGTCCTGTAGCGTTTCGTGGTTCTGACAGTGTTTAGCACAGATGGGAAGTGAGGATGCGTTCTGGCTGTCACAGTAGCCTCAGATCACAGGAGCTGAGTTGGCTGTGGCCTCTGCCACTTAGTTTCTACTGAGCCTTGGGCTGCCTGGGCATCTGTGGTAACAGATACCAGAGAATGAGTGGCTTAAACAGTAGAAATGTATGTTCTCATGATTCCAGGGGCTGCAAATCTGAGAACAAGGTTTCAGGAGGAGTGATTCTTTCTGAGGGCTTTCTCTCAGTCTTGTTAATGGCCATCTTCCCTGGGTCTTCGGTGGTCTTCCTCCCTGTATATGTCTCTACCCAAAATGCCTATTTGTAAGGTTGCCAGTAAGATTGTATCAGAATTTACCTTAATTACCTCATTTTAACTTGATTTGCAAAGACCCAGTCTCCAAATGGTTACATTCTAAGGGACTGAGTGTTAAAACTTTAGCATGCGAATTTGGGAGTTGGAGGACCCATGTCAGCTCCTAACAGGCGCTTTGCCCAGCCTAATTTTCCAAATGGGTTATAAAATGGTTTATTAGGGTTGTTGTGAATATTCAAAAGATGATGCATGTGATTACTTTGCGTAATACCTGGAATCTGGTGAGCACTCACTAAAGAGAACTGCAGTCATAAATCTTACGTCTTTGTCATCCGTTCCATTTCATGACCGAGGTCTGCCATTTTCTTAGTCTTCTCAGGCCCTCGGAGTCTCTGAGCAGGCTGGTGTCAACAGTTAAGAGGCTGATTGCCCAGGGAGGGTGGATGGAGTGGATGGGATGCTTTTGTGTTCAGGAGTGCCAAGTTGTCCTCAGTGGCTTTCACACATGACTACTGTGCCATAGGCTCAGATGTCCTCGTTCCTGTAGTGCCTTGTCCACTGGCTTTACCAGAATGAGATACACACTTGGAGAATAGTCTCTCCATGTCTGGGGCAGGACACAAGTGTTTTGTAGTATTAAGGATGTAAGTATTAAAAATCATACAGTTTGTCAATAACCAAAAGAATTATCCAACTTCTAGAGGTGTTGTTTAAGTAATGTGATGTTTGAAAGTGTCTGGTGTTCCTGTGATTAGCTATCCGTATTAATCATAGACTTGATAAAAATCGATGGAGTTCTTTCATGCTGGTATAGTAGCAAGTTATCATTTCAGGCCCTAGAAGTTGCCTATTTTTTAAACGCGTGCCATTTCTTCTTTCAACTATTATAAATGTTCCTTTGCTTTCACAAGTACTGGCACCTCACAGTTCTGGCTTGTGTTAAGTGGCTCTCCTCTAGGGTCAGAGAAAGGGTCTGGTTCAGTCAGGATTTACCAGAGAAACAAATATAGCACAAGGTATATAAATATATATGAATGTAGAAAATTAGCTCACAGTGGCCACCCAGTGTCGGGTGAAGAAAAGCCCAGAGGGTCTGTCCTCACACTGGAGGCCGAAGGATTTAGGTGAAGGCCTGGAGCTTACTGCAGTGTCCAGTGCCAGTCCGTATCAGGAGGCCGATGGGTCTGCTGTGGAAGGTTGAAGGATCTGTGCCAAAAGCTGAAGAGTCTGTTAGAAGGCAGTGGATGACATCCAGGGCGAAGAGTGGAGCTCCTCCAAAGGAGCAGCAGCAGCAGCATCCTTCCTCATTTCCCCTTTATAACATCCAGGGGATGAGCTGCCCTAGAGTAGACCTTCTACACCCTAGGGCATGGAATTGCTGAGCCTCTTCAGCTAAGCTTCTCTTAACCAAACTTTTCAAGTTGGTACACTCTGTCAGCCATCCTAGGGTCCAATTGTGTGATCCCTGTTGTTAGCTGTAAAAGAAGTTCATGATGTGATGGGGAACGGTGTGACTGGCATATGAAGGGGGAGCCCGGTACGTCTGAACCTCAACCTGTGGTCTGTGCATCTCCACGTAGTGCGAGAAGTCAATCAATTTGTTGGACACTGTGTCTGGAAAATTAGTATGAGGAAAAAAATCTACATGTTTGGTGTCAGAAGCATTCTGAATAAATATAGCACAAGTATATATGAATTTATATGAAATAATATTTAACTTACCCTGAAATAATAGTTGTATCCAGTTTTTTATTACTGTAATAATTAAAACATCTTATTAGGGATTGATGAAACAAGCACTTCAGTGTTACCTAACTTTCCTATAAATTTACTTACCTTTCAGTTTAAGCCCCTCAAACAACAGCAAAAACAAAGAAAAAACAGTAGTGATAAAAGCAAGTGTCCTTCCCTTAGAGTTCCTTGTCCTGCGTTTCCACTGCCCTCATGGGCCACCATCTGCTAATATGGAGAAAAGTATGCGTCAGAGTCTCTGACTGATATCTTTTCTTCATTCTAGATCATTCTATTGCTGTTGTTTGCTCATTGTATCTTTGGTTATGGTCCTCTTTCCTAAAAGTATTCTGCAACTTTGCTTCTTTACCTTTTCATTCATTCACTGTTTTTTTTGCAGAAAAGAGCAAGTTAGTACCCTGTATCAGAACATCAACCTCGTGGAGCCAAGACTAATCCAGCCCTATGAACATGTGATAGAGAACTTTATCTGGGAGATCAAACTTCAGAGCACAGAGATGGAACACCTGGCCATTGCAGTGAAGAGGTATTGAAGTCCTCCCTTTATGAGTGGCCCATGGGGTCCTTTAACATGTTCTCTGCCCTGGGTGATAAATGGACTGCACTGCACTGCATTACTACATAATGATATGGGTGGACCTTCTGACTTCTAACTAAGCCAGCACATGTTAAGTTAGGCTGTGATTTACAAGTGTGTGTGTGTGTGTGTGTGTGTGTGTGTGTTTATCAGTGGGTCAGTTTGATCCTTTTATAGCCACTGTTCAGGACCATTGATTAAATACAGAACAAGTCAGAGATTCATCTTACACCCAACTACTTAAAGCATGTAGGAAGCTTCCAGAGAAATTGGTGGGACTCCATTTGAAGCCTGGCCTTGTAACTTATGAGTATGAGACCCTGTGGGCATGTTACCTAATCTCCTGGAGTCTCATTTCCTTGCACCTAAAAAAAGAGACTGAAGTGTTCACATCCCCCAGGGTATGGAGACTCAGAAGATGACAGCGTAGGTGGAGCCCCGCCCTTTGTAACTTCCACGTGGTGGGTGCTCAGCAACCTGCCTTTCCTCTCACTGGTCCTCTTCACCCAGCCCTGCTCCCTAAACTGAAAACCAAAACACTGTTTAATCTCCTACTGTAATATAAGGATTTGTGTAATGCATACCTTACGTAGGCTGTCTTATTGCTCTTAATAGCCATTAAGTGTGAAAGTGAATTGATATGTGTTCTAGTCCAAGCATCAGCCCTGGAAGGACCACCCTTCTTCAGTACATTTTGAGAAAGCGGGGTATGTGTTTGTCACGTCCCTGGGTATTCTGCCCCACGTTTGCTTCCTGCATCCATGTGGTCCACTAGCAGTGCTCTCCAGGTCTCACCCAGAACTTGGAAACACAGACCCTATGATAGGATGCTCCCTGCCTGCTTGGGGGCGGGTGACAGCTTCTGGCCCACTTGGCTGTAACTTCTCTGTCTCCTTATTCTTTCTGTCAACAACATTCAGTGAGTCAGCTAACTGAAATTAGCTCACTAAGCCTTTGGAGTAATTAAAAGGACTTACAAATTAGAAGAGAAAAATGTTTTAAGATTTGGATGCTAAACAGGACCATTCTTGTAGTCCTGGAGTCAAGAGTTGAAATATTCATAGGGGTTTCATATGGACATTTTCAGTACCTGTTGTCCTTAAGTTTGCTTTCTAGGGGGCTTCTAAGAGATAGTCCTCAGAACTCCAAATTCTGTAGGGAGTTCTTGGGTGTGGACTACTTAGTTGGCCTCCTTTGAAGTATGACATGCAGGCACACATGCTGATTCTTCAGAGTGTTCACTGGATGGCTGTTAGACAGATGGACATAGGCACATGCACAAGTGAACATGTGCACATCCACACAAAGACACCTGTCCCTGGGTCTGTTTGTCTCTCTCACTTTCATACTCCAGATTGTAGCACATATAAATTCTTCTTTTGGTCTAAGTGGTTGTTAAAAACAGTAAGATGTCTATGTAAGCAAGCTATGGCTTGTAAGAACTGTCTGTGTTAGTAAACCTACAAGGGAAGAAAAAAACAAATGGTGTTCTTTATGCTCTCATTGCCAGCCAGTTTACTCGTTACAGTGGAGTGGATTTATCACTTTATATTGCTCTGTGTTGGTGTCTGTCTCCACTTCCCTTTCTGTGCTCTCTTGGGGGACCCAGAGCCAGGCTGTCTCTCCTGAGCCTGGGGTCTCCTAAGGGGCTTTCTTTCTTTTGTTATTAGAGTCCTCACTGAAGTTTAAACACTTCTTATAGTCCTAGACAGTGGACCATCTCTTGCATTCCTAGACAAGGACCATTCCTGCTCATTTGCCTTTGCTTGAGGGAGACTATCAGATTTTCACACTGCACTGTAAACCCACTGTCCTGGAAAGAGTCTTGGACTAGGTGACGATAGACAGTCATAGCTCACTAGATATTTTGCTAGGAATTAGCAATTTTTGGCAAGCATTGTGTTGTTGATTTACACACATACACACACACAGTGTTGCTTAGAAGTGAGAAGCACAGAAAGCGTTCAGGATCAATCCCAGTTGTTTGGAACTGAATATCTAAAAGAATAACTAGAAAAAATGATCACAATGAAGAAAGAAAGGATGTATAGCCATTTTTTTAATAGTCTCAGATTTAACAACAAAAATGTTGCTTTGTAGATACATAAGTTCTAGACTTCAAATAGCAGCTATTTATAAACGGAAACTAGCTAACTTTCCAAAATTGGTTGACAAGATATCTTGGGTAACTAATAAGTAGGAAGTAAACAGGAGCAGAAAATAGTGATGGTACTCAAAATTTTACTTTGAAATCTCCTCCCTCACATTATTTGTTTGAAGTTTTATGTAGCAGACAAACTCATATACCCAAATTGTGCTGTGAAAGAGTAAGTTGAAAGATAGGATGGCAGAAGCAGCAGAGGCCCATCAAACTAGGAGATGGGAGGCCCTATATTTAAGGCCTGCCATCTACTTGTATTAACAGTGAGTTGTCATTGGTACAAGGGGTTGGTCGACTCTGAACCTTGTGGTGGCTGCTATCAGGTCACTTCTAGTAGAGTTGGTAGGCAAGACCTGTTCAGGTGAAAAGTTAGATAGTTGGACATGAAGCTCATAGAGAAGAAAGGAAAAATACATCTTCTCTGTCTTGGGATATCCCTCACTTTATGATGGTTGAAGTTTCACAGACAGTTGCTAGTGAAGTAAAATAACTGAAATGCCTCTTACCAATTTTTCTATTTCTAACTTTTCTTCCCCCTTCTCCAGGCTCTTTTCTTATGTTTTTATTTTTTGTACTAGCACATGTTTGCAATACATAATGACTGCATTCATTGTGGGGAGTTGATACATGTACATAACAACACACCTTAAATCTTTTTATCCTCTTCCTTTCTCCTCCCATCCTCCCTCCTCCTTCCTTCCATAGAGGTGTGATTTACTAATTATATTAACAAAAGAAACAAATTTTCTAAAAGGTAACTACACTTTTGGAAAATGATTAGAAATAATTGCTGAAATCTCTTTTTTTCTCTTTACCATATAGGATTGTGAATTTCACATCATAGAATTTTAAAATTATATTTAACCACCTTTTCGGCAGAGTTCTTTTCTGCAGGCTAGATTTGTAACTTACTTTTGATAGCAAACAAGAGTTTCAGAATTTATTGAGAATCTCCCAGTGATTTGGCAATTTTAACTATTCTTTGACACAGTTTAAGATCACTCAATCTAATTTATTTCCTTTATAATATCTATTTTTGATGTTATTTTATACCCAAATGATTGAATTGCCAATCTTATTACATGAAAGGGATGAGAAATGTGTGTGTGTGTTCTCATTTGTAAAATACAGAGTTTAGAGAAAGTTTCTCTTCCTGTTTCTAGTCTAGGTACACAATGAAAAGCTATGCCTCCTTTCAAATTTCAGAGCCCAGGACAAGGCAGCTATACAGCTGAGCGAGTGGGAAGAGGAAATGGATCAGAGGATTCAGGCTGCGGAACACAAGACCCGAAAAGATGTGAGTTTCTAGGATTGGCCATGAATGCAGCGGCAAATCCTCATGGAGTACCTTTTATTTTTTAAATTTATTTTATTTATTTATTTATTTTGGTACTGGGCATCAAACTCGGGTCCTTGTGCTTGCACAGCAGGTGGCGAAACCACTGAGCTAAATCCCCGGCTGGAGTACCTTTTATGGCATGATCAGGGCGGGGCCTCAATCCACCTCTTGGTGTCAGGGCGTGGGCACAGCAATCCTGCGTTCCCATGAGGCTCCCAGTGAGTGGATTTTTCCCAGTGGTGCTTCTGGGGCACAGAGTATGGAGAGTTAGAGAGTATGAGCATGTAAATAAATAAGGCAGGTAATTTTCAAAAACTGACAAGTGCAGAGAAGAAATTTGTGTGTGACAGACTGTGAGCAGGGGAGGAGTCTGCTCAGGCTGGGAAGTCACAGGCCTCTTTGCAGAGAGGATCTGAGAGGTGGGGCTGGAGAGAGCGGTGTGGTCTTTACAGCTCAGTCTCACTGCCCATTTCCTCTGCCAGCTTTAAGTCTAGATTACAGTGAAATTAAAATCTTTCCATTTAAGGTGTTTCATAAGAGAAAATTATTATTGTAGGAAATCTTCATGATGAAAGTGGTATGCTGCCTTTGGTGATTTCCACTGAAAAAAATAATTCTCTTCTTCTCCTTATATGCTCAGGCAGTGTTTACTCCCAACAGAAAATAGACGTGTCTCTCTCTTCCAACTTGAAAATGGGATAATGTCTGCTAAGTGGTTTTAATGAGGATTATAAGCAAGATGATCTTTTTTAAAAATAAATTTTCTTTTATTTTATACCCTTCTCCTCTTAAGCCCCCTCCCCTCCCTATGTACAGAAGCTTTGTTTCCACTTCTTCCTTCTGTTTTCATCTTTTTCTTGGTCCTTCCTTCCTTTCTCCCTCCTCCTCCCTTGTTCCCCTTCCCATTGAACACTTTCTGCCCATTTCCAGACATCCATTATACATCTCAGTCCTTATTTCCACTTTCAGTTTCTCACGCCAGAGAAGCAATGTGGTATTTAAACATGTGTGTCTGATTTATTTCACATAGGAGTATGGTCTCAAGGTCCATCCATTTAGCTATAAGTGGGAAGCTCCTCCTTCTTTATGGCAGAGTAGTACTCCATTGTATAAAAAACCCACATCTTTATCCATTGTTTGTTTATGGGCACATGGCCTGTTTCCAAGATTTAGCTATTACAAACTGCCACGTGAACATGGGTATGCATGTATCACTGTTGTATGATGCTTTTAATTCTTTTGGGAAGATACCAAGAAGAGGTATATATAAGGGGGTCAAATGGAACCTCTAGTTTCAGTTTTTAAGAAATCTCCGCACTGATTTCCACAGTGATTGTACCAGTCTACACGCCCACCAACAGCATTTGTTCTCTATACTCCCACCTCTGCCAGCATTTGTTATTGGTTGATTTCTTGATAGCAGCCATTCTTTCTGGAGCGAGGTGGAATCTCAGCATTGTTTAATTTGCATTTCACAAATAACCAGTGATTTTGAGCATTTTTTCATATATTTACTTGTCATTTCTAATTCTTCATCTGAGAAGTATCTTTAGTTTGGATGCTCATTTTTGCATTAGGTCTTTAAAATGGGGATCTGATTTTTTTTTTTTTAGTTCTTTATATATTCTAGATAATAGTACTTCATCAGAACAGCTGGTAGAAACTTTTTCCCACTCTGTGAGTTGTCTTTTCATTCTGTTGGTGGTTTCTCTTGCTGTGCAAAAGCTTTTTAGTAAGATGAGGCTCCAGTTGTGAATTCTTTGTAGTATTTCCTGTGCAGTCTGGGTTTTGTTCATGAAGTGTTTTCCTACTCCTGTGCCTTCAATCATTCTACCTATTCTCTCTTCAAGCAGATTTAGTGTTTTGGTTTTGCTGTTTAGCTTTTTAATCAATTTTGACTTTTAGGTTAGTGCATGGTGAAAGACATGGGTCTGGTTTCAATATTTGGCATGTGGAAAGCCAGTTTTTCCAGCACCATTTATTTATTTATTTTTCAGTTTGAAAAGTTTTTTATTTTATAGCTAGAAGTTAGCTAGGCAAGTGCTGTGCCACTGAGCTACACATCTCCAGCCTCTTTCTCTTTCTTTCTTTTTTTTTCATTAAGTTTATTGGTGGTATATTTTAGGTATACAATACAGTTACATTCATCATTGGGATTTTGTACCTTTACATGATGTATCTTGGTTCTTATTTTTTCCCCATTCCCCTGCCCTCCCTTC